CAGGGTTAGGTATAGCTTCAGCAGGTGACAGAGTTATGTGGTAGCTTCAGCAGGTGGCAGGGTCAGGTGGTATAGCTTCAGCAGGTGACAGGGACTGGTGGTATAGCTGCAGGTAAGGTGGTATAGCTTCAGCAACTTACAGGGTCAGGTGGTATAGCTTCAGCAGGTGGCAGGGTCAGGTGGTATAGCTTCAGCAGGTGCCAGGACAGGTGATATAGCTTCAGCAGGTGATAGGGACTGGTGATATAGCTTCAGTAGGTGACAGGGGCAGGTGATATAGGGACAGGTGACAGGGACAGGTGACAGGGACAGGTGATATAGCTTCAGTAGGTGACAGGGACAGGGGACATAGCTTCAGCAGGTAACTGGGACAGGGGTATTGCTTTAGTAGGTGACAGGGACAGGAGGTATAGCTTCAACAGGTGACAGGGACAGAAGGTACAGCTTCAGCAGGTGACAGAGACAAAAGGTATAGCTTCAGCAGGTGACAGGGACAGGGGGTATAGTTTTAGCAGGTGACTGGGGCAGGGGTTAGCTTCAACAGGTGACAGGGACAGGTGGTACAGCTTCAGCAGGTGGTAGGGACAGAAGGTATAGCTTCAGCAGGTGACAGGGACTGGAGGTATAGCTTCGGCAGATGGTGGGACAGGAGGTATAGCTTCAGGAGGTGACAGGGATAGGTGGTATAGCTTCAGCAGGCGATTGGGACAGGTGGTATAGCTTCAGCATGTGACAGGGACAGTGGGTATAGCTTGAGTAGGTGACAGGGACATGGGGCATAGCTTCATTAAATGGTAGGGACAGGAGTATAGCCTCAGCTGGTGACAGGGACAGGTGATATGGCTTCAGCAGGTGACAGGGACAGGTGATATAGCTTCAATAGGTGACAGGATCAGGTGGTATAGCTTCAGCAGGTGGCAGGGTCAGGTGGTATCGTTTCAGCAGGTGACAGGGTCAGGTGGTATAGCTTCAGCAGGTGGCAGGATCAGGTGGTATACCTTCAGCAGGTGACAGGACAGGTGATATAGTTTCAGCGGGAGACAAGGACAGGTGATATACCTTCAGCAGGTGACAGGGACATGTGATATACCTTCAGCAGGTGACAGAGACAGGTGATATAGCTTCAGCAGGTGACAGGGACAGGTGATATACCTTCAGCAGGTGACAGGGACAGGTGTGAAGATAATGCAGTAGCAGAAGAGACCAGGTTTGAAGGTTAATATTCCTCAGTGACCTGAAGAAATCTACAGGAGTGTAATTTGTACTGTAGTTTGCAGGAAAATGTTCAGATATATAAACGAGCAAAATGGGAGTAAGACTATAAGTGTATTATTGAGAGATAATTACTATAAGGTTTACAAAATTGAGCAAGTGAATACGGATAATACACTGCAGGTGATTATGGTATCTCACGTAGGTACCCAAGAGAGATTAGATATTATAGATATAGTGTAGATAGTATTTAGTGTAGATCTTTTAATGGACACTGTTAAAAGGGATAACGTTGAAGGGAACAAAGTGACACACAAAGGATTTGTGCGTGTGTGTGTGTGTGTGTGTGTGTGTGTGTGTGTGTGTGTGTGTGTGTGTGTGTGTGTGTGTGTGTGTGTGTGTGTGTGTGTGTGTGTGTGTGTGTGTGTGTGTGTGTGTGTGTGTGTGTGTGTGTGTGTGTCTGTGTGTGTGTACTATGGTGTGAGCACAATGTGCCATCGAGTTGTCTGTGTTTGCACTACCACCATCAAAACTATGTCGTACAAAATTTTCTTACTGTTAAAAGAGTAGGTGAATGTAACGTTGGCGTAGTTATAGACACAGTTAACATCACAAGAGTGAGTGGTGAATGAAGATATAATTGTGTAAACTGGTTTATTTATTACAAGATCAGTGTTCAGTGTTAAATAAGAACAAAACTATGCAGATAATTAAATATATTATGATTGAGAAACAGTTTGAACTCTTTGGAACAATTTTTATATGAACTCACTGACAACATTAAACCATCACTCTAAAAGGTTTAAATAAAAGCCCGAAAAGGGTTGAAACATGTTCCCAAAAGGGTTAAGCGTTGTCGTCGATACACGTTAAACTTTTGTCCAGAAAAAAAATTATATTATCGTCCGCAAAAGGCTAAAACCCTCATCCTCAAAGGATTAAAATATCGTCCTCAAAGTGCTAACCCATAGCCATTAAAGGGTTAAACCAGTGTCGTCGAAAGGTAAAGTCATTATTTCTATTAGCCACAAAAAGGGTTAACCCAGCATCATTACAGGAATAAACCATTGTATTCAAAGGTTTAAACCATTTTCATTAAAGAATTAAACCATTGTATTCAAAGGTTTGAACCATTATCATCAAAGAACTAAACCATCGCTCTTAAAGGGTTAAATCATCGTCCTCAAAGGGTGAAGCCATCGTCCTCAAAGCTGGGAACAATTTAGCAGGGAACTGTGGCCCATCAAACCAGATTATTTCATATGGCTCATCAACAAGATCCCACCATCTGAAGTTAATGGAAGTTGGTTGTTGATACGCTTGTCGGCATAAGTCTACATTGCAGCCACAAAAGAAGTCTGTTTGATGTGTTGGTTAAGTTCTGCCTCACATAGCGGAATGGTGCTTCCATCAACTCCTTTGAGTTTATGGAAAGGATTTTCCCTGTGGCTATTGGACCATAAGTTTTCTCAAAAACTTTGAATCGGAATCTGTTCAAAGAGCTGCTATCATTGCCTTTTACTCCATATAGACTACAGGTGAACTTGGATAACTTTTGTTGTTCCTCGTCACTGACCCCAGATGGCAAATGAGTAAATGTCTTCTGGACCTCCAACTCTTTCTCAAGGTTTGCCAGAGGCATGTTTTTACCTTTTCGGATAAATGCTGAAATATAGTCGGATCCTGTAAAGACATGAATGCCTGGTAATGCAGCACATGTACTTTGTCCAAGTGACTTGATGATGGCACTGATGTTCACATTCCTATGAGTATTCCTTTTGGCCGTCACCACATCCACCCATTTGGATGTAGAAAACATAATAGTGGAAGCATTTATCCACTAATCCTAAATAGACATGACATGACTGATGTGCAGGTGCTCTGGTCTTTCCTATTTTCTAGCTAGAAATGATGGCAACTGCTCTTTGAAAGAACGCGACTCCAGAGCCTCACGAAAATCTCACGGACGCTATGCTCCCATGATAATGTAGTCCCTCGCGTGAGGACCTCATAAAGTTCTCTCATAGTCCTCTATAAAAGGTGGGGAATAGATGTTGAAGACAGTATCAACACATTTCAAAGACAGTGTTACAGCTTGTAGCAAAATATCCTTTGCAAGGCCTCTATAAGTTTAGGTTTAGGAGGGAGATAGGAAGGAATTGGTTCACAAATAGGGTTGTGGACGAGTGGAACAAGCTTAGCAACTTTTTAGTAAGTGCTGGAACGCTGGAAAGTTTTAAAAGGAGGCTAGATAGATTCATGGATGATAGAGAGTGGTAGTAACTCTCGACAGGAGCTGCCATGCACAGGCCAACCGGCCTATTGTAGACTCCTTATTTTCTTATGTTCTGATATGTTCCTGGTAAGTTTGGTGGTAATGTAAAGAAAATTGCCGTCTACGATGCATGCGTCAACAGTGTCAGGGAATCCTTCGGATATCTCTTCTAAAGCTCTAAACAGCTTGCTCTTATCCGTCTTTGCCATCACAGAGGGAGAGGAGCAGAAATGTCAGTTGATACGAAAACACATACTCGTACTCTAAGTCAACAGGGCACGTGTACCTTTCAGCGTTGCATCTTTCTTGTACACTGCTCGTCGATTACATGCACATTTTTGTTTGAAGGTCATAATTTTTTCCTTGTGAATGGTACCTTCAAATGCCTTCGGGTCTTCAAGGCATAGCTGCAGGAATTTTTTTTATGACGTTCCTTGTCTTTTTACGGAATGCTAAGTAAACAGACTCTCACTACTTCCGCCGATGCTTTCCTTCTGTTGATGTTGTATAATAAGTTTGTTTTGCCCGCAGCACTCTGGAAAGGGTCACAAGTACGAGTATTTTCGATATGCTCAGAATTGTGACTTTGATTTCCAGTGATCTATTTAAGTATCTATTAAAGGAATGTGACATTATCAACCACTTTTTGAGTGCGATTTGATAGTTTTGTGATAAAGAGTAAAAGAGTTATGGTTAAATTAGTTTCCCAACCCATAATTATGAGCATAGTACCAATAAAAAGAGGAAATTTGTTATACATTTTCCATATCCTCGTGACTGCAGCAGCTACTTTTACAATCTACAATATACTTACATGACTAAGCAAAAATATTCCCAAACACTTTCTACCTTGCTTATGTAACTGATGTTCTAGTATTATTTTAGATTTTTAGGTTTAATTAGCACAGACGAGGCTTTACTCATTAAAGGCGATCTTGAATACCTTTTGCACAGGAAACTGCCTTCTTAAGTTGTTGATTTACGATTCTCTATCATTCTGCACTAGACCCGTGTGTGTGCCATTCTGAGGTCAGGGAAGTGCATTCTCAACATCCAATGCCACAAACTTTTTGTGCTTGAAATTATGATTAAATGACACTGTGCTCCCGGATTATAATCACAAAAACAACTGCTCTTGTCTGTGTCTTCTGGTACACTGTATGAATATGAATATGTATGAATATGTCCTGTGCTGTTTGTCTCTTGTTATTCATGAAACTTGCTTATCTTCTATTATCTTCTAATGATTGTGAATCATTATATCTCTCAACACTGTGTATATATGGACGTTTATGTGATCATGATTAGTCATTAATGAACAACTTCATCACTAACCTAACATAACTTTAACCTGAACTAAATTAACATTACCTCCCCACATTTAGGTATAGTTTGGTTATGATAGTAAACACAAAATGAAATCAGTAACATCTAACAACGGAGGTGAAGCTTGTCCTGACTACTGAATATATAACACTGATAGGATCTGCTCGCATCATCCTGCATGACTCACCTGGTAGCCGTCGTAGGTCCATGACGCCCACATCATCTTGCAGGACTGGATGTCGAAGGGGAAATACTCGACGTTCATGTCACAGGAAGAACGATAGATGCCATGAGACAACCACGTCACCTGCCCTGCTGACGTCACTATGACATTGGTGTTAATCGTGGCCGCCGAGTACTGGGCGTCAGCACTGGGGGAGAGACGCAGTGCACTAGTGGCCTATGTACGAGTATAATGAAAACGTTGAATTATATTATAGAACTGTTATTATAACCCAATATTTAATACGTAATTTAAAAAAAAAAAAATTCAAATTCCTCTACAACTGAAAACCTGGACCGTAAATGTATCATTTAGTAACTCATGCACTGTAAAACAAATGTTAATTAAGAACTCCCCCAACAATGCAGGTGGCTGCATAGAAACATTGTAGAATCTACTGATCATATGAAGAATTTCCCCCCTCAGAGCAGTCTGGGGGGAAATTCTTCATATGAACGAGTCTGGGGTGGATATTCTTCACATGATCACTGGGGACACAACAGGTGGCCAAGACCTCACCAGTAAGTTGGGTTAGGTTAGGTTAGGTTAGGTTTGGTTAGGTTAGGTTAGGTTCTTCATTCATACCTGCAGGAATTTATGTGGTGTGACCGATTTTATTAATAATGCTTATGAGAACCTATGTACTCATATTTCTCTTCAGTACCCTATGTGATAACAAGTTTAATACACTATTCTGCATATGTTGTATTTTCTCATCCTGATTTAACTAATATATTAAATAAAAACCTTAAGTAACAAAAAGTAAAAAAGGAAAACAATGCATCACTGAAATAAAGGGTGGGGGGGGGGGGATAATCTTCACATGGGAAATTGTGGGGGAAATTCTTTTAGTTGGCAACATGGGGGGATTCTTCATATGATCCGAATCTACAGTAGTCTCACTAAACATACCGAATATGTCAACATGAATTTGAGTAATGGCATGTACAAATTGGAAAATTTTATGATTAACAAGATTTGTAACCAGGTGAAAGGCTGGACACCTGCTGTCCGTAAGGACTTGATCTCACTCTCCTTTACTGGATATATTAGCCTTGTCAATAATTACTCCTTAGTTTGTACTCACCCCTGAAGATGTGAACTACACGAAATCGCTTGGAACTTAGTGTTTTCTTGTATCCTATGTGGTTATCAGCATATAAATGGATCACGCATACCTCCAGTAATTTATTTGCACACACACACACACACACACACACACACACAAACTAAAATTAAAATTAAAACGCTCTACCACCCCCATAGACTTACCAATGAAACTCTTCAAGGAGTTCTCCCCGGAGCTTGCTAAACCCCAATGCTCCATCATCAATGCTTCTCTCAGTCAAGCCAGATGCCCAGCTGACTGGAAGACCTCTTATGTATCACCAGTGCCCAAGTCAACCAGCCCACAATCCTTAAATCAGCTACTACCTATTGCAATCACCCAAATACCCAGCCTAATCTGTGAAAGTTTTGTGTTCGACTGGGCTTATGCTGATATTGCAGGAGTCGTAGACCCTCAGCAATTTGGCAATATGAAAACTTCCTCCACCACTCACTGTCTTGTCAGCTTTCTCGATTACATATACCGCCATCTCAAGAAACGAAAAACGTCTGTAGCTGTCGCCTTCATTGATTTCACTAAAGCATTCGACCTAGTCGACCACAATATAATCATCAACAAAGCTATTGACCTCGGGCTTCGGAGAAGTCTTATACCATGGCTTACAGACTTCCTCAGTGACCGACGCCAAGCTGTACGCTTCCGAGGGGCTGTCTCCACCTTTCAGTCACTCACCTGTGGCGTCCCCCAAGGCACCAAGATGGGACCACTCTGCTTCCTTATGCTCATCAATGATGCCCTAAGAGAAACCCCTGCTCGCTGGAAATATGTCGACGACTCCACCATTGGGATCAGCGTCAACAATTCTGCTCCCGACTATACCGCCCTTCAGGATTTATTGAACAGTCTCCAAAACTGGGCCACCAGCAACCATGTCACCATCAACCATACCAAGACCATGGTTATGCACATCAACCTCTCCTCCGACATTGTCCCACCTCCTTCCATTACTTTAGGTCCGAACACACTCCAGGTTGTAGATTCTACGAAGCTCTTCGGCGTCACCATAGACAACAAACTAAATTGGAAACCACACGTCAGTGAAGTTGTCAAATCCTCCGGTTTCCGTCTCCACCTCCTCCGCCGACTCAAGTCCCTCGGAGTTCCTGCACCCGAGCTGCTCAGTGTTTACACAACATTCATACTTCCCAAGCTCACCTATGCCTCCCCTACCTGGTCTTCCTCCCTAAATGCCACACAACGTAAACACCTAGAAAAAGTGCAAAAGAGGGCACGCAAGATTATTCTCTCCCCTTCCTACTCCACATATCAAGAAGCGCTCAACACACTGACCCTTTCGACTCTCACTGACCATCACCACGACCTCATCTGCAAATTTGGTAAGAAGCTTCTACACCATCCTCGACACCGGCTCCTACTACCACCTGAGATCCCTAGCCCGAGAATTGCTGTTCGACACTGTGGGAGAGACTCAGATGATCCTTATAATCAGGGGTAAAGGAAACACACTGATGTCAAGTTCGTAAGTTCTATTTCTGGGACAAACACACAAAAGGAGTTAAGACAGGGGTAACAGCGTCCTGTCTTGGAATCTCTCCGGGTATCTCTATCTGCGCATGCGCGTACAGCGCGCATGTGCTCAAATTCTGAACTAACACAGTGACAAAAGGGAGTATGATTATAACATATAATACAGAGGACCTGAATCAATAATGGTAAAAAGTACAGTTACATATTACAGCATATTCGTCTCGTAGTGCAATCTCGAGCGGACTCTTTTTCCATGAGCCTTTGAGAGTGACGTGGGAAAACTGGGGAGTCACTGAATGAGGACTTACTTTTCTCGTTCAAGCAAGGGTTCACAGGGATATGGGGGAGGGGTTCACCACTAGAGGACGGTACTGAACGAAGAAAGCGGCGATTCCGCCACCATACCCGACCACTAGGGGGACGGACCTCGTAATCCCTGGTCTTGCCGCAGCCCATGACAACCCCGACCTTGTCCCAGCGGTGAGACGTCGGGTCTTGAACCCGAACTGTTTGCCCGATTCTCAACCTGGGAAGGGGTCGGGCGTGTTGATCGTACTGTGCCCTTACCTGGTCAGCACGGGCGGCTGCACGACGATCGCAGTCCTCGGCCTTGGCCTGCCACTCCCTCGAGAAGGACTCAGGATGGGCAGGGACACATGACCGTAGTGGGTGGCCGTATAACATCTGTGCTGGGGAGCGACCTGTGAAGTTGGGGGTATTCCGCAATTCCAATAAACCCCGGTCAAACTTCTCACAGTCAATGTTGCCTGAGGGTGCCGTCTTGAGGATAAGATGCTTGACGGACTTTACGGCAGCCTCGGCATGTCCATTGGACTGGGGATAATGTGGCGAGGACACCACTTGATAAACTCCCCATCGCTCCATGCAGTCCCGGAAGTCGTTGCTGGTGAACTGGGGCCCGCCGTCAGTCCTCAGGCGGAGAGGGACACCAACTTCCCGGAAGTAGCGACAGAACATACGTACTGTATGAGAGGCAGTAGTGTTGCCTCCGCAGGGAACGACAACAGGCCACCCTGAGAGCCGGTCGGCGATGACGAGAAAGGACTTTCCCGCCACAACGAAGAAATCCGCAGAGACGGACTCAAAGGGCCTCGTAGGGTTGTCGTTGTTCATGAGGGGTTCCTGCTGCTGACTAGGCTGCAGCACCTGGCATGGCTCGCAGACTTGAACGGAACTAGCGATGTCGGAGTCGATGCCTGGCCAAAAAACAGCTTGTCTTGCCCGGCGCTTTGTAGCTTCCACACCCCTGTGGCTGTCGTGCAGGTGGGCTAGGGTGCGGCGGCGGAGGGCGGCAGGAACCACAACTCTTGCTCCATACAAGACGAGATCGCCATCAGCATAGAGGTCGTCCCGCATCTTCCAGTATGGGAGTAAAGAGCTGTGTAAGTCGTACCGGTTGGAGGGAAATCCCGAGGTCACGCAGTTCAGTAGACGGATGTACGAAGGGTCCGCTCTTGCCGGGGCTCGGAGTTCCTGAAGAGTCCTGTCGGCGTCCTGCGGTGGAGACTCTTCTGAGATGATGGCGTTCACGGTCACTACAGTCCTGAGGTGTGCAGTAGCATCAGCACATGCGATCTCGTCCTCTGGTGTGGGGTGGCTGACTGGGGCTCGTGACAAAGCATCAGGGATGCAGAGCAGCTTGCCAGCACGCCACACAGCTGTGAAGAGGTAGGGCGAGATCTTCTCCTTAAGGCGTTGGAGGCGGGGATTCTCGACCGCATCCAAGGAGTAGTGGTTCAGGATCGGGATGAGTGGCCGATGATCCGTCATGAGGTGAAGTGTTGTAGGCCGATCAGATACAACCTACATTTGGACATGGCCCAGACGGCGGCTAACAGCTCCAGTTCGATGGTGGCGTAGCGAGTCTCGGCGTCAGTGAGAAACCGAGAGCCACACTGAACCAGACGAAGGCGTCCATTGCCGTGGTCCTGTAGCAGAGCGTATCCAATCCCGTAGAGGCGAGAGGCATCAGTCTGGAGGACAACTGGCAGGGCCGGGTCGAAGGAAGCGAGAACAGGTGGGCTAAGGAGAGCTGTCTTGACGCGACGGAATGCCTCATCATGGTCAGCTGTCCAGGTGAATGTTCTCTTGGGGCTCATCAGGGGGCGTAGGGGCTGTGCTGCAGCGGCGATGTCGGGGGTGAACTCAGCCAACTGGTTTACCAGGCCCATGAACGAGCGGAGGTCGGTCAGGTTGGCAGGAGTTGGGAAGTCCCGGATCGCGCTGACCTTTCCAGGATCAGCCGAGATGCCCTTGCCTGAGAGGGTGTACCCACAGAAGTTCACACTAGGTGCGGCGACCACAAACTTATCCTTGTTTAGGGTGATCCCGTACTTGCGGCACCTGGTGAGCATCTGATGAATACGCTCAAGATGCGTGGAGTAATCCTCGTCATATAGGAGCACGTCGTCGATGACCTTGACACAGTTCGCCACACCCTGAAGGGCCATGCCACCACGGAGGCAGAAAGCATCGCCAGTAGCCGCGAAACCCATAGGTCCTCTGCAGTG